CTTCATAAAATCCAAAAAAGCCATATACAGTTTACCACCTTCTTTGACAGTTGCTTGTTTACAATAGCTGGTAGAACAAAAGCATTATCGGTCGTATAGTAACTCTCACGAAATTCTGCTTGAGGTTCTCTTATTTTATCAAATATATTAACATAAAAGGTTATTCTTTTGGTTTAGATACAAGTATATTTTAACCGTCTCCGTGTTCGAGGGGTTAGAGTCGACGACTTCTTATCCATTTACCTTTCTGGAGAATATCAACACATGTGATGAAAATTTAGGAAAAATATCATCCCCCCCTGGGCTTTTTCACGTCTTTATGATTTAACGGCATACAAAATTTCTTCATCATTAAATTCTGCATTTAAAATCAAATCTTCTATATCTTATCAATAGATGCTTCATTAATACTGTCATGATCACCTAAAATGGTTTCACAATCACCATTATATACATGTGTAAATAAATTTTCCATGCATTTTCTCTGTTTGTACCTTTCTCCAAAAAGCTTTGTTACTTTTATGCCTTCGAAGAAGAGGGGTATATTGTTTAGCTAATGTCGGTCTTTCTCTCGGTCGTAGACCACATGGTTTCCGCTGATTACCTTGAAAACTGTTTATTACAAAATCTTCATATTTCACATAGTGATTGATCATAACTAGTGAAGACACAATTTGATTTTGGGGCCTTTAATGTCAAAATGGTCTCCGCTGATTATCTTGAAAAGTATTCATCACAAAGTCTTCATATTTCACATATTGATTGGTCAAAACTAGTCGATGACCCCTATAGTTCAATATTTTTGTTGCATCTTAAAATCAAATCATTTTACTGTTTTTCATTGTAATTCTGTTTTTTGTTGACAATTTTCGTTATTTTTTTTCCCCCAAAGTTTAAAATCATTTAAGGTAAGACCAATGCGGTAATGGGCATCAATAAGGAACTGTAAAATTGACAACATAGGAAGTTATAGTCTTCCAAGGTCACCTTTATGCAAAATTTTTTAAATAAAATTTACCCGTGTGGTTATGGTTGATGGATTATATTTCTGAACTAAGACTTTGCCATTAGAAGGGCTTTTATTTTTCAGAAATGAGTAAACTGTAAAATAATCTGTAATTTCAATCATTATTATAAAAATGTCTTTTCTATTGCTCATTGGGTTAAGAAACAAATTAATAACATTCAGGTAACACAATACACAAGCCAAAAATGTTTGTTTCTAAACAAAATGTTCTTAATAATTGTATAAAAATGTTTTCCCTACCCAATTTCCCACTTTTAACACTAATTTTTTACCATTTCCCTATCTAAAATTGCCTTAAATTCAAAATATCCCTAAAAATTTACCTAAAACTTGAAGGGTCTGTTTTTCGAAAGTTTTGCCTAAATTTTCTTAAAAGGGTATATTAGGTTGATCATGAGAAAATATAAAATTTCTTTTTTAAAACCGTGTAAGTTTTTATTTTATTCGAACTTTTGAAAATATCTGGTATTCCATATTTGCTATATAATTTTTGGCATTATTAGCAAAAAGAAAATCCTAAAATAATTATATAGTTTAAATAAAACTTTTTTTTCTTCATAAGGGATCAGAAGAGGATACTAAAATAATGTTAAAAAGAAAAAAAAGGGAAAAAGAAAAAAAGTTGGGGCCCCTTCTGGGGGATTTTAAACCCACGGGCCCCTTTTCAATTTTCAATGTTAGTTTACAAAGGCGAATTCTTAGCCTATTTGAATACTCTTAAAGTGGAGGTTTAAGTTGCTACCATGGCTAACCTTAACAATGTTTCCCCCTTTTAGTCCCTTCCCTATAATTTCTTAAACGTTTATTTTCCTGATAATTTAACTCAGTACAGCATTTACCAAACCATTTTCTTACAATGTGTGGTACATTTTAGTTTTTCTCATAAAACAACTATCACAATCTAAAAAAAAATCATTAATATATTTTACAATTTCCTCAAGCTTTGGTCTGTTTTGTGGGGTCCCCCCAACCACAATTCTTCCTAAAAGATTACATATTATTGAAAAACCCGCCTAATAATTTTTTTTAATTCATAAGTAAATTTGATTCACGATAGCCTTGACTATTTTCCTCATCAAAATTGTAATATACCCTAAATTTATTTTGTTTTACTCTAACTTCTGTTTCACTGTTAGTAACACCAATTCTGGATCTTAATTCAAAACTTACAGGAAAATGAATGTTTCAGTACGTGTTTCAATTTGCAATGAAGTAATATTTTGTATAACATTGTCAGAAACAATGAGATTATCAATAATACTATTTTCCGTGGGTCCAATATATGTGAACTCACCTTTATTCGTATCATCATTACAAAAATGTCCATTAACAAATTTTTAACATATATGTTTTACAGAAATTAAGTAAATCATGACCGAAAGAGTTTGTTTTGACGTCAGAATAATAACTCTCATTGTGTGCCCCATCTATAGCAAATAATTCTGAATAGCCACCAATATCGGATGAATTTATATTACATTCTAAAGTGTCTTGCAAACTTCCTGTCGGAGCATTTTGAATCACTAAATAACATAATATCTTTGCACCCATTATCAAATATATTTAGTTTAGAATCTTCAAGAATACCTATACATTTGTTTAACTTATCTGTAAAATTAATAAGACTGTTCTGGAGCAAATATATAAAAGAAAAAAAAAACAGATTCTTTATGTGAAGACAAAATATTGTCACTTATTATAGTAACTGAAAATATTTTATTTTCCTAGGTTCAAAAAGGATAACTCTTTTAAAAAAAAAATCATCGAACGAAAACCAAATTCGAACTTGACTTGTATTTTCTGTTTAAATACCTGCACATGCAATTTCAACCTTAAACATACATTTCCACAAACGTAAGAGTGAAGAAACTGGATATTTCAATTTTTTTTCCAACGTTCAAGAAGGATACTTTGTCAAAAATAATAGAACCATGAAAAAATTTAAACGTGCCCTGCTTATTCTTATGAGTTGAATGTATATAACTGTAGGGGAGATAAAGAATGGAAACTGAACATTTATTATTTTTAAGTTAAAGGGGCATACCAAAAATCATCGAACCATAACCAAATTCAAACTTTTTGTGCATTTCTTTGGCATATCAAATGTCAAATTTTATTTGAATGTGTACAACTGTTTGGGAGATAATGAAAGATACCTTACTCTTTTTATGTTAACGGAGCATAACTCTGTTAAAAAAATCGAATCGCAACCAAATTGGAACTTGACCTGCTCATTCTTTGGCAATATCCATATTTAAAATTTGAATTGAATGTATACAACTCTTGAAGAAATAATGAACCTAAACCTGAAAATGTCCCCTTTTTTAAAGAGGAACCATGACAAAATTTTAACTTGACATGTTCATTCCTTTGACGTATCTGTATATACATGTATGTCAAATTTGAGTTGAATGTTTACAACTGTTAAGGGGATATTGGACGACAACTGATTATTTAAAAAAATCAAAGTTAAAGTTACTCTGCCAAAAATTATGAAGCATAACCAAATTCAAACTTGACCTGAATAATTCATTGCGTATCCATGTGTAAACTTTGAGTTGAATGTGTTCAATATTTTGGGAGATAATGAAAGAAAACTATAAATGCCTTTTAAAAAATTACAGGGGCATATTGAACATAAATTGAAAAAATCTTCAAGCGGAATTACTATGTCAAAAATCTACGGGTCATGACCAAATTCGAACTTGACCTGTTCATATATTTAACGTTTCCAAATGTCAAATTTGAGTTGAAAAGTTGAATGTATACAATTATTGGGGAGATATTTAACGGAAACTGAAAATGAAAAAGGCATTCCTCTGGCCACAAATCATTTAACTATGACCAAATTCAAGCTTGACCTGCGCATTCCTTTGACGTATGCGTATATCATTGGTGATTATGAACGGAAACTGCAATAACTTTCAAGGCATAACTCTGTCAAACATCATCGGGCCATCAAATTCGAACTAGACCTGCGCATTTTTATGAAATTTCCATATATATTAAATTTGAGTTGAATGTATACAATTGTTTTGGAGATAATTAATAAAACCTAAAATTATTTTTTTTTCAAGTTAAAATGGTATAACTCAGGCATCAATTATTGAACCATGACCAGATTTGAACTTGAACTGAGAATTTCTATTACATGTCCTTATCTCAATTTTAAGATGAATGAATAAAATTGATGGGAAGATTATAAATGAAACTGAAAATTTCTTTTTTAAATTGAATGGGCATAACTCTACAAAATAAATAATCGAATTATGACCAAATTCAAACTTTACCTGTGCACTTTATTATGTATCTCTATGTCAAATTTGGTTTGAATTTATACAACTCTTGCGGAGAGAATGAATGGTAACTGAAAATTTCTTGTTTCAAAGTTTAAGGGGTATAACCCTGCCAAAAATCATTGAGCCATGACCAAATTCAAACTTGACCTGACGTATCCAAATGTAAAATTTAAGTTGCGATTGTTCAACCGACGGAGAGATAATGAACGGAAACCGACAAATACTTCTTTAAGGGGCATAACTCTGGTAAAAAATATCGGACCTTAACCAAATTCAAAATTTTCCTGCATTCTTCAATTATAAATCTATAATGTGTGATAATGAACGGAAAGTGATGCTGAATAAAAACGAAATGACGAAATAAGGTAACATGTAAACCCCAGTAATTTTATTTATTTTTACTGCTTATCTGTATGGTAAATAGATATAAAGTATTACAGTCATATGTGTAAAATTATGGCAGAAACAAATGCAAATAAGTCATATCCGAGTACGAATATTATATGAATCAATATAGAACCTCTGCAATTTAGTATTATCTATATAGCGTTAATAACTTATCATTTTAAATATCACGACAAACAAATAAACAGAACAAACTCTAAGTTAACTCATTTAACTCTAACTTTATCATTTATCTGTAAATAAACTATAATATATAAGAAAATACTTACATTTGTAGACGCAATGATTATTAATATAAGACCTATCATTTTGAAGCGAGATCACAAGTGGAAGTTATGCACGTTTAATTATTGGGTAAATATTTGTGTTGTTGCATAGAACAGTCCATTGATATTTGATATTTTTGTGCAGTAATTACTTCATACAAATTCATTAGTTCGTGACATAAGGTAGTATTTCCATTTGAAAGCACTTTAAAAATCAATTTGTAATGTTGAGTCTATGATTGAATATATAAACGTGAATATGGAAATTTCTTCTCGTATACCGGATTTACCGCCTAACAAGAAATATCACTTATTTGTTTGTTATGAAAGGAATTCTTTGTGTACTGTTGCAGAAATTGTTCAAAATTTGGAGAAAGAAGGAGTCGTTTGTTGCTACTTTGAGAGAGATTTCATTCCGGGAAGGTCAATTACTGACAATATGTATGATGGAATAGAGAAAAGCATGAATATGCTCATTGTTCTATCTGAGGAATTAGAAAATAGTTGTTATTGTATCGATGAAATTGACAAGGCATTTAATTTACGAGTACACGGACAGTACAATCTCATACCTATACGGATTGAGCCATGTTCTATACCAATATGCCTACAGCATCTCGTGTATATAGATGTAGAAGAAGCCATTGATGGAGCGCATACTAAAATTATTAATGCCATGGTGAAGAAAGGTAAGGTTCCGACTATCATTCTAGTTCAACTTGTAAAAAGGTATATTATAAGTTATTTTATGGTTTATAAGTGTATAACCACATGTTCCAGACAGCATTACAGGGCGTCTGGAACAGAACAAAAATTATATCCATTAAATTCGTGATATCTTGCATAGAATTTCAAGCAGAGAAGATTATTATTGTTTGCAGTGTTAGCAGTAAATATGAAAAGAAGAATAAGACAAATTTCTGTCTAATAATGTTGTTTTAGGGTTAAAAAATCATATACCATATGGTAATGATCCGCAGCGCACGTTTATGTTTCAAAATGATCCTCAAACGTGTAAATCTAAGCGCTAAGTCCGGTGAGATGGGAGGATGACATACACTCACGAACCCTAACAGATTAGTTCAATCTGCATCATTTTTCAATGCACGTTGTGTAAGTGAAGCAGTGCGCCTTTGATGTTGTCATACATTTTCGGTCGCTTCTTTCGTATAACGTTCATCCCAGGGTCTGCAAAATGAATGATAACATCTGAAAGTGTTATCAAATGACGCGGGTATTATCATCAACACGAAATATCTTAATTCCAATAAAGAAGTTTTTTTTAATAAGACAATTTAAATAACACAAACGTGTTTGTTACTATTTACCTCTGAATAATAAGATCCGTTGCCAGTCTACCCCTTTCTCATTATGTGATCGAGTTTGACGCCATGTATATCTACCTATTCATGGACTGTACGGTCTTAGCGTTATTTGATGGTCTTCTGTGATCCATTCATATCAAAGACCTGCTTTTATCTCTCCGCTCTTAATAATGAATTCTGAACCTATATTGCTTGAAAACGTTTTAACTTTTATATGTACGCTTTTACTTTTAACCCATTATACCAATATGTAAATGAAAACGTTACATTAATGTTAACAATTGCTGGTTTTATTCGTCGGTGACAAAAATATACAAATATTATTAACGTATCTTTACACCATTGCAGAACACTGAAACTTACTTTGTTGGGTTTTCTTTAGTCTTTAAAAGAAATTTCAACATCTGACAATAATGAGGTGTATCTTCATTGTAAAATGTTCCTTAATCAAGCATTTTATCTTTATCATTGATATGAAATAATCACATGCTATGTAGAAACTATTTTGAATTATTGTTAACAACAATATATGGGACGGTTGTAAGAACATTATCAAGGAGCGTTATAGTTACGTATCGTATTCGAAGATAAGCTATTATATTTTCATCAGAGGTGTGTTGTTTTCCTTTATTATGTTTATATGAAAGCAGCAACAAATATATAATAATTTCAGAGCTAATTGTTAAATTTTCTAACTCGAAATTGGTAAAATTTGAAGTTTTAGCTGATTGTTAACTTTCAAGATGTGAGTACGTTATAGAAGAGATATATCATATGTAACACGAAAGTATAGATGAAAGCTTTTGCTAAGCCAAAATTAGAAATATTTGAAAGTCCAGCTGAAGGACTGATATTCAAAAATTTGGATTGTCTAGACAAAATGAAGAATGATTAGTACAGCATTCGATAAAAAAAATGACACATCTGTGAAAATCTAATTTTGAGCTGAACGACGGTTGAATAATATTAAATATATTTAAAATGTGTGTTTTTATAGTAATAGAATTTTGAAGGTCAACTGATTGATGACTGTCTAGGGCAACATTTGAACTATTTGAAATAATATCTAAAACTAACAAATATCGAATGTTGAGCTGAATTGTCTAGATCGACATTGATAAAATTGAATGTCTAACTAACTGTCGGTAATCTCGCTCAGAATTCGTTATGAAATCATATTTTAATATCACACACTGAGTGTCGATTGACTAACGGAGAAATTGGTTTTACTGGTTCTTTTTTAAGAAAAGTCAATTAGGAGGACAGACTGCCATAATATGACTATAAACGTACTTAAATCAGCATAACAATTATTTGAATATTTTTTAATGTCAGATGAATCGTCCAAATCTGTACTGTTATTTTATCATTGAAATAAATAAAGAAACGTAATTAGGAAATTTTTTGCAGTTATTAATTTCAAAAGTTGCTACTACACTTAAGCCTTATAGTTATAACCCAATTGCATATTCCTGTAGATTAAAATTTATTTTTTCGAAATTTTGTTTTTTCATTTTGTTCTGGTTCATTTTGTTTCAGATCAACAGATTGCACTTACGGAAGGTAAAAGTATTTTATTACTTTGTCATACAATTTAGTGCTGATCAGTCTGTAAAATTTGATATATTTCTGGATAAAATGCATTGTAGTAAGATATATCATCAACTCAAAACCCAAATCATGTCTTGGTGTCTTCAAATAATTTGATTTTTTAGAGGCAAAGATATGGGGGCTTGATAACTACGTCATACCGCACCTGCAAAATGCTTCCAATACGTCTGTTTTTCTCTAAACTTTCCGTCGACTCGAAGGTAAAATGTGTTTTTATTCTAAGACATTGTTAGAAAATCAAAAAAAATTGTAATGTAGCACATTAAAGAGAGGATTAAGTACTTGTTTTACTGCCTAGTTCAGGCTTGAAAACAATTTTTTCACTAAACAAACTTATTCCGTTTTAGGCTTAAATCAGAGAGTATAACTTTATATCAAGTACTAAAGCTAATCTTTGGTGCGCTACATTATTTTTCTATATTCTAACGATTTTAAAAAAAGAAAATACTTAGTCGACAAAAAACAGTCCGACTGGGGGCATTTTACAGGTGTGAGATGACATAGGATCCTTATGTTAGATATATTTTAGGCAAAATAACTCATTCTCTATATCTAGAACCACCGTTCCGCCGGGGTTATAAACCTTCTTACGGGCGTCATTTACAGCCACAGTGATTTCTTATTGAAACTTGATGTCATATTTAAATTTTTTGCTCTCTTAAATGAAGTAAAGACGATTTATATATGCATCATTCTACAACTTATGTAAACAGCTCCATTCCACTGGCGTTCCAACATTATTTCTATTTTCCTTTACAATTTTAGCATCTTATTTTATATTGTTGCAATTTCTTTTTTCTCTCTTTTATCATATAGATTCAAACGGGAAGTACATTGAATTTGGACTAACGGCAAATAAACCTAATTGTTTGTCTTTTACAAGATACAGACTGAATATTACAGAAAAGGAAAGAGTTAAACTATGGAAAAAACAGTTCGAGGTCAACAATTTATTTCAATTTATTATTGCAAAAGATATTGCATATAGGTTTGCCGTCTGTCCATCTGTCTGTTTGTTTATCAGGGTGAATGAGAGGAAACTTGTTGGGTACTAAGAACAATATATAACAGTAAATTTTATTCCATTCCATCCGTCAGAATTGTTGGATATTTTAGGGTCTTATTTGGTATTTTTAAACAAAGAGGTGTCCAATGTATGACCTCTCGTGAGGTTTATCTGTCCGTCAGTCTGTCCGTACGGACTCAAATGACATTATGTGATGAATATCCGTGTTCATTACTTACAAACTTGTACTTTTGTGGAAAAAATGTTGCTTATGGGATGGTTCAGATCAAAGAAAATAACATAGACAGCTACTGTTGAACGCCCGTCCGTCCATAAATACTAAATCTCATGAAAAATCGCTGAATGTATTTTTTTTATAAAACTTAAAATATTGATAAATAACAGTATGGCGAGTATGCACTTTCATTTATTTATTCCTATCTAGTTGCTGTAGGAACAAAATCCATTTTGTTTAGTTCCGCCCATTGTTTGCTCGTTTAGGGCACACGCATTCTTTTACTTTGGGACCATACGCCGATTGCCATGGAATGGCACGAAAGTTTCACGATGAAGGTTCCATTATAACCACCGTATGATCACATCTGCGGATGTTTCTAAATTCAAAATGTACTATTAATTCTGCTTAAGCCGGTGCTAGGGGTCGTGAACGGTAACTTTCTATTACTGCCCTTGAACATGCTAAACCAAACCGAGTCTGCAGCATTTTCAATTGTTTCGGCTTTTGATGGCAAATATAATAGCAATATAGTGCGATAACTCATAAAATACTGATTTTGTTTATGAAACTTGAAATATATGGATGGATAGACGGAAGTGTGGTAATTATGCTTCTTATGTTAGCTCGTTTTTTACAAAGAAAGATAAGCTATGATAATTGCTGCGTTATTGTCGTCGTCGTAGGTGTGGTTATGCAAAAACTTCAATGTAGCCCAATATTAAAATATTTTAGGAGGGGTATTAGAACGAAACTTGGATTATTTGCGTATCATTATAAAAAGCAGTAACTGTTGTAAAACCAGGGACATGCTTTTGAAAGCAATATTATCAGAGTTATACCCCTTTTCTTCATTGATATTTTACCAAAAACTTTAAAAATATATGATATTGATAGATTCCCTTACGAGACGGACAATAACATCGCAAACAGTGCTCTGTTAACCCCCTGCCGCAAAGTGTAGAGGGTATTTTAAGAATGACCACCGTTCGTCCGTCCGTCTGACCGTTCGTAACACATTTGCGTACGTACCATACCTTTTAAACCGCTAACAGTTTTGAAATAACTTGGCACAAGTGATAACCATTTTGAGACGATGTGCAAAGCGCAATAATTGAGTTGCTTCCCCAAAGGTCACGGTTCCAATTAAAGGTCAAGTGTTTTTTTAGTCTCGGACTGGGTAACCCCGTTTATTTACCTCGTAATAGGTATAAGAGTGTTGGGGTCACCCCCTGTCACCTTACATGATATCTACATAATATTACAATCATCATCTAGTCATAAATAAATATAAAAATAATATAATTATGATATACATTATATTCAAATATTCCATTCAGGGTGAGCTATTGTGATCGCCCTGTGTCCGTCGTCCGTGGTCGTGCGTCGTGCATCGTGCGTCGTCAACTTTTCACATAAACAACATCTCCTCTGAAACCAATGACTGCACATCAACCAAACTTTACAGAAATGATCCTTGGGTGGTCCCCTTTCAAAGTTGTTCAAATGGTTCCGGTCTGTTGCATATGTAGGTCACAGGGCCAGAAAAGGATTTCTAAAAACACAAAATTAAAAAATCTTCTTGTCTGAAAGTACATGGGCCAGAGCTTTGATTTTTGGTATATGGTATCATCTATGGGTCCTCTACCAAAGTTGTTCAAATTTTGTCCCTAGTGTAAAAATTGGCCCCGCCCCGGGGGGTCATAGGTTTTTCCTTATATGTCTATAGGTAAATCTAAAAAAATATTCTTCTCTGATTTGGCAAAGGCTACAGATTAGATATTTGGCATGAAACATTGTGTAGTAGACCTCTATCAAGATTGTTCAAATAATGGCCCTAGGGTCAAAAATGGCCCCGCCCCGGGGGGTCATTGATTTTCATTACATACATATAGTGGAAACTTGAAAAATCTTCTGGTCTGAAAGTAAATGGCCTAGAGCTTTGACTTTTGGTATATGGTATCATCTATGGGTCCTCTACCAAAGTTGTTCAAATGTTGTCCCTAGTGGCAAAATTGGCCCCGCCCCGGGGGGGATCATAGGTTTTTCCTTATATGTATATAGTAAAATCTAAAAAAATCTTCTTCTTTGATTTGGCAAAGGCTACAGATTAGATATTTGACATGAAACATTGTGTAGTAGACCTCTATCAAGATTGTTCAAATAATGGCCCTAGGGTCAAAATTGGCCCCGCCCCGGGGGGTCATTGATTTTCATTACATACATATAGTGAAAACTTGAAAAATCTTCTGGTCTGAAAGTAAATGGCCTAGAGCTTTGATAATTGGTCTATGGTATCATCTGAAGGTCCAATACCAAAGTTGTACAAATTTTGTCCCTAGTGTCAAAATTGGCCCCGCCCCGGGGGGTCATAGGTTTTTCTAATATGTATATAGTAAAACATAAAAAAATCTTCTCTGAATTGGCAAAGGCTACAGGTAAGATATTTGGCATGAAACATTGTGTGGTAGACCTCTACCAAGATTGTTCAAATAATGGCCCTCGGGTCAAATTGGCCCAGCCCTCAGGGGGGTCATTGATTTTCATTATATACATATAGTGAAAACTTGAAAAATCTTCTGGTCTGAAAGTAAATGGCCTAGAGCTTTGATATTTGGTCTATGGTATCATCTATAGGTCCAAAACCAAAGTTATTCAAATTTTGTTACTAGAATTAAAATCGGCCCCGCCCTGTGGGTCATTGACTTTCCCTATATGTATATTGTAAAAACTTATAAAAAATTTCTTTTAAAGAACCCAAAGAGCTAGAGCTAAGATATTTAGCATGAAACATCTTCTAATGGGTGTCTACCAAGATTGTTCAAATGAAAGCCCTGGGGTCAAAATTGGCCCCGCCCCAGGGGGTCATTGATTTTCCCTATATGCATATAGTAAAAACTTAAAAAAAATTCTTTTAAAGAATGCAAAGAGCTACAGCTAAGATATTTAGCATGAAACATGTTCTAATGGATGTCTACCATGTTCGTTCAAATAAGAGCCCTGGGGTATTGCATTTTTTGGTGTGTGTGTATATATGAAAGTTTATATATATATACATACACACACACACATACATACATATATATATATATATATATATATATATATATATATATATATATATATATATATATATATATTATATATATATATATATATATATATATATATATATATAATATATATATACATAAAAAATCTTCTTTTAAAAAACCCAATAAGCTAGACCTTAGATGTTTGGCATGAAATATCTTCTAATGGGTGTCCTTGGGTTTAAACTGGCTCGCTCTGGGGGGCCTATACAGGTGAGCGACTTTGGGCCATCATGGCCCTCTTGTTATATAATATGTTTTAAGTCAAAAAATTATATATGATTATGTATTATGCAAAAAAATTCAAACAAACAACATTGGTTTGATGTAAATTTACTGTAGCCCTGTTAGTTAATTTAAGTTCTAACAATTTGACACCCTTCATTGACATGATTTATCAATTTTTTATTTTTGTAAATATTCCACGCCAATGTAAGACTATTTCTAAAACCAGTTAATGTAGGTAACATGTTTCTCCCTTTGACAATTATATATATCTTTTCAATTCTAAAAACAAAATATCATATTTAAAATCATTTACTTCAGAACATAAAATAAATGATTTACAATTAAAATTACTATCTTCAAAATAATCTATACTGTATTTCAGTGATTGCAATAAAGACTGAATTGGGCATTTCGAAAAAAATGCAACAAATGCAATGAATGCATTTTCAAAAAGAACACATTTTACTATTAACAATTTTCATTTTGAATAAAAGTGAGTTAGTTGTTAAATTTCTATGAATTATTTTTGTCTGAAACCACTGAATATAGGAATCTTTGGTACAATTTATTTACATAACTATTCAATTAATTTCCAATTTATATCAAATATTTGTAAAATATGAATTCCATTATTTTGACACGTTGGTACATCTTTTTTTCAAGGTCAACTGTTAACTAGAAAATTGTCGTCATGCATTTATGCCCCGCATGCAGCAAAAATTTCAAATCAAATGTTATTAAAAATAATGTTTGGTTACAATTTTGTTTCCATAAACTATTTTGTTTTTATTCTAAGTTTAAAGCCTTTAAAATATTCAATGTTAACTCAAACCATTTTTATACACAGTTCAAGACCATGAAACTATTTAATGTAAACCTTTTGCAAGTTGCTTATGGCAAATTTGTAGCCGAGATAATGACTACATACATTTTCACAAAAGTAAGAGTGCGAAACGTCAAATTGTTTCCAACGTTCAAGAGAGATAACTCTGTAAGAAATAATCAAAACATGATCAAATTCAAACTTGAGCAGCGTATTCCTGTGGCATATACATAACTTAAATTTTAGTTGAATTTGTACAGCTGTTGAGGAGATAATGAATGGAAACTGAAATAGAGAAACATTTTGATTACGCTATTAGATAATAGCATATTACCAGGGCAGTTTAATATAGGAGTCAATGAAGGATAGAACTTCCATATAAAGCCACCAAACCGCTGCAACATCTTTCGCTTTTTTTTTTGAATAAATACAGTCATAAAGTAGAATGAAGTAGGTCGTTCACTATATAATCTAATTAAAATATGATAAACAAGATCAACAAGGAAAGAAAGTCAAATATTGAACTATTAAAATAATACGCCAGAGTAAATTCTCCTATTCTTTAAATAATAGTATTACAGCAAATAGAGAATTATTATTTGTAGATTATGATATAATTTCTTCGTAATACTAAAACATATTTTGTACCATTAAATAATTAAAGGGACCCCAATGAGGTTTTTTGACATGACGGGACTGGAAATATATTTTTAAGATTATTGCTCTAATTGATGTAGATCTATATTAATAAGTTATCTTCAAAATTTCAGAGCATTAGCTCGCTACATTTTTCCATAAAAGTTATTATAATTATTATAGTGAAAAATGACCCAAAATTGAAAAGCATTTAAACGCTTTTCACTCAATAGCACAAACATACGAGTTTCAATGTATTTTCTTTATTTTTCTTAGTTATATTTTATTTATATTTCTGTTTAATGTGCTCATGTTGATACATGCAAAAAATTAAAATTTTA